AAGTGGGGGTTCGGGCGACCTGGGGAAAGAAGCAGAAGATGCACTCCAGGCTCTTTCATTCAAAGTTGAGGAAAACGTGCAGTCAGAATATGAAACAAGCCCCACAACAGGCGCTGGAATTTTCGGCGGTGCGTTTCCTGCAAAGGCTCAACGAACGTACTTTGCAGCTGCCATTGCTGGATTTCTAATTCTCGTTTTGGCGTGGTCTTTGAGAACAAAAGGCAATATCGAGCCAAATAAGAACCACTTACCTGTTGAAGGAAATACTGCAGTTCCAAGCCTACCAGGACAGGGTGGTGCAACGGGCGCACCAGAGCAACCACCGGGCCTGCAGCAGCCTCAGGTGCAGCCACAACCCGTAACGATTCCACAGCCGCCACCAGTTTTTCAGGTTGTGCCGCCTGAGCAACCGCCTCAAGTTGTTCCACCTCCTCCGCCCCCTCAAGAACAGCCGCAAGTAGTGGCAGCGGAGCCAAGCAAGCCAGAGGAGCCAAAAGTTGAGGAGACACCAGTGACGACGAAAGAGAGCCACAAAGAAACGAACCTCGTTGGTGAACAGAAACCTCCACAGCCTGAGTGGCCTCCTGCTGCAGGGGGTGGCGAGCCGGGCAACTATGACCCCGAAGATGCAGCAGCACCTACCGCAGATGACCCTGGTGTTGCTGCACATGAAGCAACACGGGAAGAAGAAGCTGAAGCACCAGCACAAACAGAAGCAGTGAAGCAGAAGATCACTGACGCTTCTACAGCGTTAAAAGCGGCTTTGGATGAGTTTTCGCAAAATGCTAACAAGGCTGGAGCAGATGTGCAACGGGACTTTTGCCGCCGGTATATCCCTGGAATTACAGGAGGTGCAGATCACTTGGGTGCTATAGCCTACGCCCAGTCCCTTGTAGATGCAGCACTTCAACTAAATCCAAAAGAGTCTGCTAGTCTTCGTGAAAAAACAACGCACTTGGTGAGGGTAGCTTTTGCAACTTCACTGTTGGAGGCAATGAGCATGCGTATGAAAGAACTAAAAGCAAATAAGGAACGGTTTATGGAATCTGCTGACGCGAAAGCGCATTCGCGAAGGGCCTCGACAGGCTCTACAGATTCGAGGGACACTGTAGAAGAACCAGCTGTGGACTTAACGCCTGTGAAATTCTCCTACTTCTTAAAGAAATTCAATAAACATCTGGGCGGCATCTCGGATGCTGTAAAACGGGCTGACAAGAGAGAAAAAGAGGCAGGAATGGCAACGATTCAAGGCGATGTCACAAAGTATCAAGCAGAGTGTCTCATGGAGTTTCTAGCTGGCTCTATCATACAGATCTTGGGTGACCGAAAAGTTCCAGACAAGATGGCCCAGCACTTCAGTCGATTGGTGGGTGATCTGGGAGAATTTTGCGATCAAAATAAGGGCATGCCTCACCAAAATTCATGGACTAATTACCTTTCCAGGTTTGAATGCCCGGCGAGCGTGATTGAGAAGGCTGAGCAGCGGTTTAACAACCTTGGAATCTTTGGGGCACTCACCGATTTTCTCTCCCACATTTCCCAAGCTCTAGTTAAAAGGAGAACAGCTGATCACCACGACCCAAAGTATTTAGAGCATCTAGAAAAACACTGGAACGTCGCCCAGTTGCAGAAGCTTGCAGAAGAAATCATAGATGCTGACCGGCGAGGCAAGGAGAAAGCTTACCAGCTTAAACAGGATATACTGGAAGCTGCAGGAGACCTCTTGGAATTCGAAGCTGCTCCAGCAGGCGAAGCTGACGTGCAACTTTTAAAGGCGGGAATTGCTTTACTTTGAAATGTCAGGTTCATCAGTGGCTTAAGGTGACTGTGCTTTTCCCGCTGGCAGGCCGCTCTCTACGTAATGGGCATGCTTGATCTCAGTCTCTGGCTCAACTGCTGTTTATGGGGCCTCCCTGCGCTTGACTCGGCGAGGCTTCTAATTCCCCAAGTTGCTTCTTTTTGCTTCACCTGAGCCAACGCGCGGTTTTCTGTGGCTGCTTGGTGGTCTATAGGGGGGCCGACAGACGAACTCACCAGTCGTACTCATCTACTATGGGGAGCTGAATTTAAAGACAGTGCCATAATCGGGCAGTAGGCTAAAACACAGCTGAAAAGGGCAGCCTGCTTCAGGAGACTCAATTGGCGCCTCGGGGGCCCTTAACAGATGCCGCCGCTCAAATCCACCAGCAGCTTCGTCAGCTTGCCTCAGTATGTTTTATTTCTGTGGGCTGGGTATCGATGCACACAAAAACTTCTTCTGTGGCGCTGCGGGTGCTGCGATTCGCCGCTTCTGCCGCTGGCACTACATGTAGTTGCTATACATTGTAACTGCTGCGTCTCTGAGGCTACTTTTCTTCCAGCGGCTTATTGCGAAACAGTAAATAAGTGCATGCGGAGGGCGAGGTGCTGCAGTTGGAATTTCTAAAGCTCCAGGTGCTTCTTTTATTCGCTTCATCCGCTTCTTCAGAGCCTGGTGCTCTGGTAAAAGGCTGCTACATTTTTGCGGCGCCTGACTGTTTCGCCTTTGACTCTCAACCACTGGGGACCGGCAGGAACGGAAACCTAAAAGCATACGGACCCTGGTCCCTCGTGGAGAGGACTCATAAATAACAAGTAGAGAGGCTTTACCTTCTCTAGCAGTTTTGCGTTCTACTTTCCCTTGCTGCTGTATTTCGGGCGTGTACCCCCGGGAAAGCTGCATAATGCTGCGTGACATTCCAACTGCCTTTTCGAAAGAAACTGTGAATACACTTATTGCAACCCCATGCAGCTGCTACCTTGTATAGCTTCAGGTGGGCTGATCCAGTGGAGCCTTCTGACCCTGCAGAACCAAGACAGTATACTTTATTAAGTTTGTCCACGTAAAATATGCAGTCTGTCCTTCCCAACACTGCCTACTGTTGCTCTCCATCAGCCCGAGGTAACGTTTTTTGCTGGATATTTGGGGCTGTCTGAAACTGACGGAAGGTGCTGAAGAAAGTGTTGCTGACTCCGCCGTCACTGGAGCAGAAAGAGGCAGAGAAAACGAAATAGCAGTCGAATTTGAGGAGGAAATTAAAAATTAGCTGGCTACGACGCAGTATGCTAGGTTGGAAAAGGGGCAACAATGCTGGAGTCGCCAACTTTGCTGAGCACTTGGTATCAGCATTCTAACCTATCAAACAACAATTAGAGACTGTTGCGTTCACCTCAGGACCACTTACTCCTCAGGACCATTTATTCGAGTTGACTAGCCAGTTCATCAACGTGCCTGTTATAAGTGCCGTGAGAGCCAACTCGTACGGCTAAATTGAGCCAGGGTTGCAGAAGCCGAAGCATCTATGGAGAGTGGTGCTTCGAGGCGTCGCAAATGAAGAGGAGGATGTGCGGACAGGCAAAACGGTTTAGAGGGCTTTTTAGGCCGAAAGAGGCGACGTAATTGATTAAAAGAAGTGCCAAGCTGTGCCATGCATTACCGTGCGTTGAAAAGGCTTGAGTAGTAATTACGTGGCACGTAGTACGTTTCCCAAGACGCTCCCTTAATGTATCCCAGTCCGTTCCCTGTCGACAGCTGCGGACTTTCCCCTGCGGCATTTTAAAGCACGGAGCCATTTTTGCGTTGAAAACTTCGTAAGGGGAAACTAATGAATTTGACCCACGTCTAATCTGCATCGGAACAAGGGTGGATCTCAGGGAAGCACTGAGCTGCCCTGGGGAACTGAGGCCGAAGTGTCGGACGCAGATATCCCTGAAGAGTCTACGACAGAGCCAACTGCAGTATTGCTAGACTTTGAAGAAGGCATTGTATGCGGCACTGTGGCTGAAAGAAACCCAGATCCGCTATTTAAGGAGTGAACAATTATCCCGTAACAGTTCCCTAAGCAGCGTCTTTCCTGTTGCCTGTTGCGGCAGGCGTCTACAAAAAAGTAAGGCGATGCGCTTCCGAATACGTGTGGCTACGAAATTTATAGTGATCTTGCAGAAGAGGTAAATTGATCATGTAGGTGCAAGGAAGTCATTCTATGCCGGAAGGAACCAAGGGGCGTTTGAGCTTCCGGCCCCTTTGCATTAACGAGATTTGAAGTGCAGCTTTTCTAGAGGGTCTTGGATTTAAAAAACTGAGCCCATACAGCTGGCAGCGGTTACGACCTTCCCAGTGTTGACAGGGACTCCACACACGAAAACATGCAGGAGGCTCCCTGATCCTGCATTTCAGAGTGCATGCAAAAGCTTGCCTGTGCACTGACGCACAAACGATGCGCCCTCCTGCAGGGGCACATTATTCTCACGGCATATAAAATCGTTTCGAAACCGCGGGTAATAGATATGAGGGCAGCTGCGATCTGCCTGCGTCAACTGCAGCGGTACACTAGTAGAAAGTTCGGGCTGCCGTGTCCGAAGTGCTCGTGCTTTGATACTTGGCTTGCATTGACTCACTCATCAAGTAGTACCGACTTTTAATAACCGAGCAGCCCGAAAAGCTCCAGATTGCTTGAGTCCCTTCATGGGGAGGCGCGGAATGCTGCTGGAGGCCGCTAACCTGGCTGCACAAGCCATTCAACTCATTGGGTGAGTTGCTGGCAAATAGTATTGTGTTCGAGGCAAGGTGCATGCATCTGGGTTCTCTTTTACCTTGGGAAGTTGAGGGCTGATGGCTGACATCCGAAATGGAGAACAAAAAGCTTTCACTTGTGTGTGAGCTGCGCGGGGTCTGTCGTCTTGACTATGCTCGCACTGTTCTTCTGGGGATGCTTTTCGAGGTTCCCACTGAACATAATAACTGCGGTTCTTTTCAGTTTCGCTTAACGCTAGCCGATCTTCATGGCCCATGCTCAGATGAGTTAAGCTCTTCGAGGCACTTGCTGGTACATATTTGAGTAGCATCCTACGTTATCGCGTGCGTGTCCCTTACTATTTTTCACTGGAGGCTTTATGGCTAGCTTGACAAAGAGGAATGAAGCACCGATCGACAATGTTACTATGGAAACTGTAGTCAGACCACACCTCAAGCCGCATGATGCCTGAGGTTCAGACGCAGGTGAGGATGCTTGTGGAATCAGACGGGAAACTGCACTACGGAGAAGAACTAGCACCGTCATATGCTGTGCTTTAGATGCTACTAGACTGTTAATGTTGGAAAATGGTCCCTCGATAGTGCCAAGCTAGCACTTTGTTCGTGGCAAAGCTTGAATGTAGCAGCCTATTAGCTGCTTACCACCCCAGCATCCTATTAGCTGCTTACCACCCCATAAATCTTGAAAAACAGAATGTGTTGCCAGTTTAGCCAACGAAGATGTACAGTGGGGCGTTCCTGCCCCTAGTAATGCAGGAGGCGGCATCTGCTGTGATGCTAATCAGGGACCCTAACATGCGTTACAATTCTGCATTCATAGCGGATCTGATTTAGAGATCCGCTAAATCAGGCGGCACGGTTCCGCATGTATCAACTTCCTTAAATGCATTAATTATTCGATGACGTGTAGGGAGAAAAGTTCTTCCGATTACCTTACCCAAGGCATAATCACATACGAGGGTTTGGTAGGCTTGCCTCAAGTGTTTGACTTTCACTATGCCTAACGGGCTTCGTCAACGAACACGCCCAGCTTTTGGGGTAGCGGGGTTTCTTTCCAACAGGTCATGGTGGACTGCTTGTTAGAGGGATTTTGGTGGATTTCTGCGCCTGCATGCTGGGACGACACAGTTGCCTGCAGAATCCCGTGAGAGCAGCACCTTGCTCACTTGAAAGCCTTCTTTCGCTGCGCAAATGTGGCGCTGCGTTTCTCCAACTCAAATGCTACCTCCCGTCAGATGTAGATCAAATATTTGATATTCACTCGGGTTTGTATCTCAAAACTGAAGGGTCATGAGTGTGTTCTTTGAATCCTAAGGACAGATATCTTCTATTGGCGCTTTATCTGTAATTTCACGAGAAAAAGCGTACAGCTGCTGGTAAAAGAGGGTGTTGACGAACAGCAGGCTGACATCAAGGCCAGGAAGTAGTCCTTATTCACGTTGCGGCTATAGCATATCCGCAGGCTAAGCTACCCGCTTGATTAGCCGCTTTGCAAGAAACTGCGCATCGCTTGTGGCTTCATGAGATGGTTGGAACAAACCTGAACCTGTCCAGTGGCAAAGAGGCGGTGATATGCATGAATTGAGTACCCACTGTGTCACTCAGCTGCTGGCCTCCATGCCCGTGACAACCTGTGGGGGCATTTAAGCTTAGAAACTGCCTACGATAGTCCATAGTGGTCCAAGTCCTCTCTAATGGCTCTATAGAAATCATGGAAAATTTTTTTACTTGTCAGTTTCTGTCTGTGGGGGAGTCTCTGTTTGACACGTGGCATTGCGCGAGACGCTGCATGAGTGCTCTGAACTTTCTCTTCCTGCCACCCTTCTGGGGTTAAAAGATCTGAGACTCACAGCACTATATCTGACTTGTCCTGCGCGTTTTCTCGCCATCGGGCATTATTGGCCGTGCTAGGAAGATTCCCGCACGTACTTCTGAGGCGATTGTGGCCGTGTTCTTTCCACATATCTTTCTAGTGGAGGGTAGCAAAGGCTGGCCAATTTGAAGACTGGTGGCAGACATGAAAAGCGTTGAGGGAAGACCCCCGGTTGGATGTAGAGCTATGCACAAGGCGTAGGTGCTAAGCCCAGGGAGAAGCTCATGCTGAAACAGTCACTGGATAATATTATAGCTGCAAGACAACCTTAGTGTAGTACTGCATCAAGTGTGTCCAGATATGTGAAGGCTGTATTTCAGTAACGTTGATCAATCTGAGAACAGTAGACCAGACAGGGATCATGCTTCTGCTCGTCTGTCCTTTCCCCTAATTTGAAGGAAGCATCTACGAAGCCACACTGGACACTTTGACCCCAAAAATGCATTTTCGATGTCGCAAGGAGGGTAATCTTTTCTTGTGTTTGTCTAGGAACATGACTACCGTGAAGACGTAGTTGCAGGCCTGGCATACGCAAAAAGATGAGCAAATAGCTTGCACTACAACCGTATCCACGGGCAGAATGCAACGACACAGTTATGTTCTAGATTCGTCCATTTGCCTCCTTAACTTTTTTTCTAACAGACTAATATCTAGCCAGCTCATCTGCACAACGGCTCCTGAAAGAACTGCGGTTAGACTTCACCTGTGAATAGCGATTCACGCTATGGGAGGCACGGGAGCTAGCGCACAAGCGAAACTGCAACTGGGAGGAAGGCGACAAAAGGCTTTTATGGACCCGACGGCTAGAATGCCTGGAGAGATGTCAGCCCTCGTGAGAATCATGCATTTTTGGCGCACAGCTGATAATCCTTTACAACCGCTGAAGGCCCCATCTGCCTGGGACCTTCAGTGGTTGTAAAGGGTAGCGCTCAAGAGGCCTGTCCTTCGCGGAAGGGGGAGGCTACTTGTGATGAGGCTACACTCACCGAACCGCCTGGGGCTTTGGCTTGGCGTGGTGAATGCTGTGCAGCTCTTCCACAGTTAGTGATTTCCGCATGTGAATTCTCTGTAGCGGGCGGTTCGCCCACGATGGATGAGGAGCTCTATCAGAGACAGAGGCGGTATTTGGCTGAATCAAACCAGGAGTTCAATGAATTTCAGCTCGAAAGGGAACTTGAAGACATGAGCAAGCTTCCACAGCATAGCCGACAGCTATTCTTCGAGTGAGGCTCCCCGAACGTCGCATCACAACCAAATACGACATTTTATGGATGTTGGAGTCTTCTGATGCCACCCTAAGCCGTAGAAGTACACCTTGCCTACACGGAGAGCCCACAGCCGACCGTCAGCCGCCCATGCTCAAGTGCAACATTTATCGTTGAGTGGTACGATACTAGGCTTACTACAGACCTCGCAGACATCAACGTCTAGCTAGGCGTGCATTAAGCGGCTTAAGACCTTCTAAGTGCGACGGGGAGAAAAAGCGCAAACTCTTTCGTTCTTGACTACGCTTTGCCGTCATGCAACCCCAGAAGGTCACTCCTGAACACTCCAAAAGCGTACAGGTCATACGGAGCACCTGGACGCAGTGTTGGGATTATACCTTCTCCACAAGTGGGCTGTATGCACTAGTTGGACAGCGTATACCGTCACGGGACTGCAGTTGATATGCTCTTTACGAAGTATGTATTTACCATATACTGTTGTGCACGGCGACCCGCTACCAATGAACACATAAAACGAAGGCCTGTGCGTTACACTAATGTCTCATCTGACAGGTCTTGCGACTACACATTGCTTTCACCCTTTGCTCATGCATGCTATGTGCAATGATGCCAGGCTCGCCGGAAGTATTTCCCACGGCAGCACATTGAACTACATTCGTGCGCGCGATGCAAGTCTTTTGTGTTATTTTTCAGCTTGTTAGTAACCACGCAAACCTACTGCTGTACGCCACTCAACGTCAAGAGTACAGAACGAGATAGTGACATTTTACGAGCCCTTTCGATGAAGTGGAGACACAGTCGCGCCAAAAGAGTGCAAAGCGTCACGCGTCAACAATTCGAAAACGACATTAAACCATCAAGTGAGCCACCAGAATGAGCTAAAGCAACAGTGGCACACCTCCGACCCCCGCCACCCCGAGTGGCCTTCAGTTACATGGGGGCAACATGGGCATTTACAGGTATGAACAGACGCCTCACGTAGCTTGCCTAGTCTTGCTTTTTGTTTTTGTTGGTGAGGAATTGAAATACTGTACAGTGGCTACAGAAGAGGGGAGGAAAGTTTGGGGCTGGGGGGCCTCTTGTGTTCGTGCTTGAAGAGGGGAACAGGCTAGAGAGTGCCACAGCTGCTGTCCTAGTGACACTACACTCAAAAATGCAGGGGCATAGTCCTCCCCTTTCTCCTTCATTTTTCTACGGCAGGCCTTAGCAGCTGCCCCTCACCCCTGCGATACAAGGAGCTCCCAGCCTCTGCACTGCAGCAGCAGCAGCAGCTGCTGCTGCAGTGCACAGCAGCAGCAGCAGCTGCTGCTGCTGCGCTGTTGCAGGAAACGCACAGGTGGGTCCTCTTGCGGCAAGAGGCCCCACCATAATCCAAAGAAACGTCTTTCCTTCGTCGTGCCGATCTTGCACGCCTGCTGGTGGCACGGGCAGCGGTGGTAACAGAAAAGGGAGCAACAGCAGCAAGAGGAGGAGGAGGAGCCGCTCAGGTGTTCGTAGATTGGGCCTCTCTGACGCGTCAGAGACAAGGGGAGTGCCCGATTGGGGTCGACAGGACGAAAGAGGGGCCCCGCTAAGTCCCAAAGGGGACATCGGCTGACCTCTTGGGGCCCCCTTAGGTAAACAAAGCCACCAACTTCTTTGGGGCTATCTCCCGCGAAGTGAGAGGTGCTCCACCGCAGTGATCTGTCTGGATAATTTCAAAGCGCCACTTTGTGTGCCCTAGCGGGTAGCGAACGGCAACACCAGCGAGGACTTCAACGGCGGCAGCAACAGCAGTGCAGCAGCAATACGGCAGCAGAAATAGCAGCAGCAGCAAGACTACTCAAAAGTATTGGCTCCCTGTCCGTAATGGGTGAGGAGGTCTCCGAGGAGGCCCCTCTCGGGGCTCCTGGGGCCCCTGGCGCTCAGTCCGACGCAGTGGCTCACCTGTGTGCTGCTCGGGGTCTCGTCAAGGAGGGACAGTCGCTGCTGAAGCAGATTGGACCCTTGCCGATGGGAGGTTTTACAAGGGCCTCTCTGTCTTCACATCAGACGCAGATTTTGTTGCACGTTTACCAGTTCTGCGAACACGCGCTGAAGCATCTTGATGCTTGTGGCTTGTCATTGGGGCCGCTGAGGGGAACTCACCAGCACGATGCAGACGCAGCAGCAATGAGGAGGAGGTTGCAGGAGGAGGAGCAGCAGCAGCTACCGGAATCTATGGCGAAGGCTGGAAAGACCCAAGGTTTCTTTGCTCTCCTAACAATGGCAGAGGCTCTGCGGGCGTTGGGTGAGTGGCTACTGTTGTCCGTGCTGGCGCTGCTTTTGGGGCTGCATCTGATGCAGCTCCTGGTAATGTAGGTGGTGGTATATAGAATCGTTACTCGTGCTGCTTTGGTAGCTTCGCCGCTGCTCTGTTCGTCTCATTCATCCGGCCCAGTATGTCGCTAGGTTTCCGCTATCTGATTTAACTTTACGAGCGAGAAGCAGTCGTTGGCCGCGTTCACGTTAGATCTTGCGCGGTTTGTTGCGGTTGCAGGCAACTACGAAGACAGTTTGCTTTGCTACACAGAAAGTCTCCAGTGGACTGAGGGCCTTTGCGGGGCAGCGGAACAAACTCGGGCCCTTTTAGCTGCTGCTGCCCTCATGTCGGATTTAGGCAGGCACACTGCTCTGGCGGCGGAAGCTGCAGAAGCAGCGGAAGCTGCCAAAGCTGCTGCTGCTGCTGCCACGCCTTCCAACCGCAAAGGAGGCACAGTCTCAGCGGCAGCAGTATCCGCTGCAACGCCCGGAAGCGAGCCAGGCACACCATCTGTGCTTCATACAGAAAGACCAACTGGAGCAAACGGCAGCAGCGGTAACCAAAGCAGGAGCTGGAGGCCCTTAAGGAGCCTCATGTCATCCAATCGCAGGAACCTCAGTTTGGTTGAAATCAGAGGACTCAGGTACTGTCGTTTTGCTCTGGAGAGCGCTCTGCTTTTGTCCCCCGGGCATCCAGCGGCCGCAGCAAGACTGATTAAAGTTTTGTTGCTACAGGGGGACTTCCCTGCGGCTGCGAAGGCACTGCAGCATGTGCTGCAGCACCAACTTAATTCGGCTACACATACACCGCGGAAAATACTGTGGCTCAGGGGACTACTGCAAGGAGACGCTGCCGCTGCTTCTGCTGCTGCCAAATTTCTTGCCAACGCACAGAGCCTCACAGACAAACAAAGCAGCAGTAACAGCAGCACCAGTGTTGACGTAGCAGCCGAAGCAGCAGCGCACGACAACGATTTGGCAGCACAGTTTCTGAAGCAACAACAGCGACGCGTCAAGCGGCAGCTTGCAGCCCTAAAAGCGGAGGGTGAGCTATTTTCTGTCCTGTTGCTGCTTGAGCTTTTGCTGTTTAGATGCATGACGACTGAATGTGCTTTTGCGGCCGGAGTTTGTGCCTGTGGTACAGATACTGCTGCGATTGAGGCCTTAGGGGGAGGGGCATCTGCCTCCTCCCGGCCGTTATTGCTGCCGTTGCCCCTTAAAGCAACGGTATCAGAAGTAACTGCAGCGACGGATTCAAAAGCCAGGGCACCTGGTGTTGCAGGATTTGCAGCAGAGGGTTCTTCTCAGGTTGCTCTTGTCTTAGATGCTTTAAGACTTGCGTTCCTCCAGGGAATGTCGGATGGAAACATCAAGTAAACCTAGCTGCCGGTGCTGCCGTCACTATCTGCGCGACTGGCCTGTAGAGGGGTGTAACGGCACTTTCATGTTCGTGTGTTGTTGCTGCTGCTGTCGTGCGTTTCTGCAGTCTCGGGCATGCCGCGAATGTGCCGGCTGTACTTGTGGCAAGAGACCTGCCGCTGTCAATTCCTGCTGCTGCAGCAGCCACAGTAGCACCAGCCACAGCGCCACCAGAGATGGCGCCAGCGCCAGCGCCAGTAGCAGCTCCTGCAGCAGCACTGGCAGCAACGTCAGCGACTCAGCAGGCGACAGCATCTACTGCTGCCCAGTGTCGCAGTGGTAGCACTAGTTGGTTGTGGGGTGGGCCGTCACTGCAACAGCAGCAGCAGCAGCAGCAGCAGCGTAGCAGAGGACGATTGCGGAGTGAGAAGCCGCGCCGTCTCAAGTTCTTGCAGGTACTTGGTTCATTCTCTTCCTTTCTGTTCCCGTAGAGCCGCTTTTTGCACGGGTTTTTGGCTCGAGTAGCTTAGACACCGCGTATCCTTGGTTTTCTTGCTTGCGTTCGCTTATTTGTCATCACCGGTGTGTATCTCTATCCTTGGCTCCATGTTCTCCCTCTCTGTCTCTTTCTCTTGTGCTTGCTTCTCCTTGCCCCAGCTGTACCTTGGTACTTCTCATTCCCGTTCTTTACCTGCTGCTGCCTCCCAATATGCTGTCCCTGTGTTCAATGCTGTAGGAGAGTGACGCATGGCAATCAAAGACTCCCTTTTCCTTATGGAAGGCCTGGGGTGCTCTGCTTCGAATGCCAACAGCACACAGAGAGGCTGCCTTGAGCAGTTCCGCTTTTGAACACAACGCGGCAATTGACGTGCTGTGGGGCGACTTCTCAGTGTTTTCGCATTTGCTCGGGGGGCCGGGTGCGGAGGCTGCGGCGGCGGCAGCTGCGGCGACGAACGTGGCCACGGGCCCAGCACCGGGAGCATCGGCTGGGGCCACTGGCACTGCAGCTGCACCTCCAAGTAGAACGTGCAGCAGCAGAAGCAATGCTTCGGCTGCAGCAAAGGCAGCGGCTGCACAGCTGCAGCCCCCGTCTAGTGTGGCTTTACCGGTCGTCCCTCCGCCTTCTCTTCAGTGGACACTCTGGCAGCTGCAAACCACTATTGACTCCATATTGTTCGTCACTTTTTCTTTTCAGCTGCTGTTGCCTTACCGCTAATCGTGGGACTGCCAGCTAGCTTATGTCATTTGCGTGGTTTGCAGCAGCAACAGCTATAGTCACTCCCGTAACTGCAGTGATAGAAGAAGCAGAGGCGGCCCGCTTGTTTTGTTTTTTTGCGCTGCTCAGGGTTGGAAGAGAATCAGCAACGGAAAAATCAGGGGACACAGAGTTAGCGAAGAGCAGCAACAGCTGCCAGCAAGAACAACAGCAGCGGATGCAGGAGCAGGAAGCTGGGGAAAAGCTGCTGCTCCAGCAGCTAGCTGCCACGTTTGGCGTCTCCTCAGCTCATCGCCGCAGCGAAGAGATTTCCCTCCTTGAGACTTCTCTTAAGGTTAGCAACTGGCCCGCTGACGCCTTTCGCAGATTTTTAGATTTATGTTCCTCTATCTTGGTGTGTTGATGCCTGCTTCTGTGCATGCTGTCTGTCTGCGCGTTCGCGTCTTTACCGCATTTTTGTCCATTTTCTCTTGCAGCTTTCTTGAAATGGAAGCATCAGCTTTGCTGCTGCTTCCATTTCAAGAAAGCTGTAGCTCCTGTATGTATGGTCTGCTGATGAAATTTTTTCAATTATAGGCGTTTGACATCACACCTCAGCCACAAGTGCGCCGTTTTGCTACGTCTGCGTTGTGGTTTGGCAGGTTGTCGAGGTATTGCTGTCTCCACAGAGCCTTTCGTCACGGTGGCCGGAGCTGCCCTGGGGCAGAGGGGTAGCACTGCGGCTACGGGATCTGCTGCAGCTGCTGTTAGGCGTGGGCGCTGCACTGTCAGCCGAGGTGCCAGTGGCAACCGCGAAGGCAGAGAGCACTAACGGTGCAGCAGCAAGGCTTGCAACATCAGAACAGCCAGCGGAAGTGTGGGGCAGAATTTGCCTTGCTGCAACGTGTAAGCTACCGCCTCTGCGATAGCTACAGTAGTTCCTGACTTCAAACGTATCTCTGCTTTACAATCGTTGCGCACTTTTTCGTTTGTCTGTTTCTGTGTTTCAGCTGCGCCAGGACAAGCAGCAAAGCATGCGAGGGCGTTTCAGCACTTTTTTAGTGCAGGTGTGGCTGAGCGTGCTGCGCTTGCCTTGATGCATGCAGCAGCAGTAGCGCTTGACGCCCACCCTGAGCGGCAGCAGCAACAGCAGCAGCTCATGCCGGTGAAAGAAGCGCAGCAGCTCCTTGATGTTGCCGGAGACTTGCTGTACGCAGTTTCTGTGGCGCTGCAGTGCAGCGGCTGCAGTAAGAAAGAGGCTAGCGGAACAACAGCTCCAGGAGCAGAAGTGGATAAGGAACGTAACAGCAGGCTTCAACGCGCCATGGCATGGCTAATGCTGTTGCAGCGGCATTCCGCAGCGGCACGTGGCGAGGCTCTAACAGCACCAGCCGCTACTGCTGCGGCAGCAGCTTTCACCGACGATGGGGCGACAGATTTTGATAGGGGGGAGGGGTCTGCAGCGGCCTTAAGTGCACTGTTGCTGCTTCTTGACGACCTTGACCCTCAAAAGCAGTTTCAGCACCAAGGAGAGGAGAATAGTCTCCTGCCGTCTTTGGATCACCTTCGGTCTCAGGCTGTCGCTGCGGTGATTGCCGAAGGCCTGGAGGTACATGAGTTGCTTCAGTCTGATCCCCGCGCGGCTGCGCTTTTCGCCACTTCCACCACTACCAAACAGTGCCACCAGCGACAGCAGCATCAGGAAAAGGAGATACCGGAAGATAAGGCGTCGTTCGAGTCCGTTTCGTCTAGAGTCTTGAGCGCAGAGGTTGAAGCCTCCCTGCTCGCTGCCGTTGCTGCTGCACAGCAGCAGCTGGATGCTGTCTCCAAGCGAGTGCATGCAGAGATACATGAGCGAACAGTAGCAGCTGCAGCTGCAGCGGACGATGAACAGCAGCCGCAGCCGCAGCAGCAGCAGCAGTCTTCGCAAACGAGCATACTTAGCGCAGAAACGCAAGAAGAAGTTCTCTGTCTTATCCAGTCATTCGTCCCATTCTTCTCTCGGGTGTCTAGGCAGCTCTCTCTACTCTCTGCCTCAGAGCTGGACTTGGGTGCGGGGAAGGTCCCCCCCGCTGTGGAAATTTGCCCCACAGTACACTCGTTTGTTTTGTCTCTCATGTCTCTTTATGGAGACATCTTCGCTGTATTGGCCCTTCGCGCAGCTCGGTCACTGGATGATTGTGTTTTCCCTTTTGCTGCCGTCACAGCAGCAGCATCAGCAGCAGATACGGCTGCAAAAACTTTACGGGGTTGCCCCTTCCCATCCGCCGAATTGAAGGAGGATTTCGTCTTAGGTGTTGTTTCTTCGCTTCCCGTTCTTCTGTCTTCTTTGCAGGCCTTCAGAGTTTTTCTCTACGATACTCCAGAGGCCCCTCTTGCTGCATCTGCATCAGCAGCACCACCTGCCGCAGCACCAAGAGGTGCAGCAGCAGTGCAAATATCAGAGGATAACGCAATGTCAGACGCTCCTGATGCGCAGCGACAGCAGTATCTGCAGCAGCAGCGGCTGCAGGAATCTGCGGCAACTGCAGTGCCAACTGCTGAGTTGTTGGGTGAAAGCGGAAAATTGCCTTCACTTGCTGCTGGAGTCTGTATGTGGGGAGTTGCTGTCGGTTCTCCATTTGCTCGTTTGGTGGCTCCGCTGTCTCCGCAGCAAATAGCGGAAGACCTCAAACTAAAGCCTGACAGCAGCGGCAGCGGCGGAGGCGGCGCTCCTCTCCTTGCCACCGCGTTAGGGGCACCTATTCCTGTCTCGACTATATTCGCTGCAGGTGTTCCAGTGTCAGGTTGTTTCCTTCACCCGACAGTGGTACGCCTTGCCGTGGGTATTTCATCGTTTATTTTGGCGGAGCTCGTTGCTGTTGCTTCTGTCTGCTGCTGCTGCTTCCTTACGGGTGAAACGAAGAGGTTTAGCACTTTGCCCATAGCGGGGTTGCCAGCGGGGGCAGCGGCAGGGGCCCTGAACAACAGCTCTTCAGGAGGAGCGGCGGCAGCAGCGGCAGCCGCAGCAGTTACTGCGGCAGTTACAGCACGAAAGGGAAGCCTGTGGAAGGACGTTGTGAACAGCAGCCAGATCATTCGGTTGGGGCTATGCGCTCTGCTGCAGCTGGCGGGAGCTCCCCTGGAATGTGCAGGGACAGCTGGTCAGCCTCAGGCAACAGGTTCGTCGGCAGCTCCTATCAGAGTCCGTTGGCAGATGCATCCCCTGACTTTCCTGGCCCCGACAAATAACCAAGTCGTATCCCCTGGAGGCGATGGCTGGGGAGGGTTGTGTAGCTCGCCTGTTCTGGGAGCCTCGCAGCAGCAGCGTGATGGGACCGCTACAGCAGCGGGTGTCGGAGGTGCAGCAGCAGGTGGTACTGTCCTCAACGGAGGGGGTGTAAGCATCTTTGAGACGGCTGACGAAAGGGCAGCCCTGGATGCGAGTGAGTATGCGTTGAGACTGGCCCATTTGGTATGGGGAGCGGTGGAGGTGGAAGTGGCTGTAAGAGAGCTGCAGGACATCGGCGCTCAGCAGCAGACTTCTGGGACCGCCGCTGCTGCTGCTGCAAATGCAGCTGCTGAAAAGGTCAAGGCAGCGTCTGCTGCTGCTGCTACTACAGCTGCAACGCCGATTCCGCCAAGCGGAGGCATCAGTGGCGGAAGCAGCAGCAAGAGTAAACGCAGCCAATCACACTACCCCAAGCCCCCTGTTTCGCAACCCTTACCACTTCAGTGCCTCCCTGGCTGGCTTCGCAGTTGTTACTGGAGCGAGGCAGAGCTCCCCTGGGACAAATCAGATGCTGAAAAGGAGTCGGAAGCGGAGACGGAGGTAAGCACGTTACGGGTGGACACGAGGGCACAGAAATCGGTTTGATGTTCTTTTTAAGGCTGCTTCCATGCCTATTGCAGATGTTGGTGGGCAGGATGGTGCTGGATTACTGTAGTAGCTGCGTTGCCATTTGCTAGTGCCGCTTTGGTTGTGATGCTGCAGCGAGGCCTGAAGCAAGCAGCGGGAGTCGAGCTGTTTTTGCCACCCGGGATAGCGACGTCTTGTCTGCCGCTTTCTTGTCTCCTCGTTGCTTTGCGATGCTTGCGTATACCTGCCATACGGAGATACGAGCGCGAGCTGCAGCCTTTAGCAGCCGCATCTGCTGCTGCAGCGGCAGCAACAGAGCGGCAGCAGCCGCAAGTGACTAAAGAGACCCTGGCCGCAGTTACCTGTTGCAGGAATGTTTTTGTTCTGGTACCCCTCGCTGGGAGGTTGATGCTGCTCTCCCGTGCTGCAACAGCAGCACCTGCGCTCGCTCCAGGTGACGTCCCTGCTGCTCCCTTGGCTGCACGGGATGCAGCAGCAGCAGCTGCTGCGGCTGCACGGGGTATCCCTCTGTTATGGGGCCCTCCTGGAAGTCACGCAGCCGCTGCTGCAGCAGCAGCTGCCGCAGCAGAGGCCAATGGATGGAGGTGGGAGGCTTCTGAAGTGTACGACGTGACGGGGGACATATCTTACAAGCTCGCTTGCTGCTTTATGCTGCTGTACGGGCAGCCTCTACTGCCTCGTCAGCCGCCGCCTCTAGACAAGTTGACTATACAGACAACGAAGGAGAAGCTTAAAAATACATTTATCGAAGTATCCCTCCCCACTACCATGCTTGGGGTGTACATACACCGCAGTGTGCAGAGGTGCACTGGATGGAGTCTTCATGAGAACGTATGCCTGATACTACTGCCAAAATTTGCGCTAGTAGAAGCAACTGTGGCTAGAGCAGCTCTTGAATGCATATTTGCCACTAAGTGCACATAGAGTAGAATGCCTTGATGTCCACAGGTGTCAAGTCACTGTAAGCCTGGATGCATCATCGTTCTGTCTCGTTGCTTCTTGTCTTGTGCCTTTTCAGTCCTTCGCTGTCAATTCCCTACTGGCACCTTCGCGAGAGACGCGCGAGTTTGCGCGGTTCGCGGTTTCTGCTGTGGATCTGTTTTGTTTCAACAGCGCAAAGCCCCCAGAGGGCAGCAGACCGTCCTGTGTTCCTCCTTTCCTCACAAATTGCAGCAACAGCAGCAATGCCAGTGCATGCTTCTGCTGCAACAACAACGGGGATAGTTTGTGGGAATGTTTAGGGGAGCCCCTGGCGGCTCCCCCTTACCTCCGTCGATTTTTAATTGACTCGAATGGCGTCGGGTCAGTCTCTCCGTTCACGCTGCCGCACAACACTTCGAGGTCCTGCTGTCTTCCCACTTTGCTATCGGTGTGTAGTTACGGCCGAGCAGAGGAGTTGTCGCTCCTTTCCCCTGCTCCCAAACCACATTTTCCATTTTTCATGCAGTTCATACCTAGGCATCAGCAGCAGCAGGTGCTGGTGCCTGATCGCATTGCCCTGACACCCCTCGCCGTGCTGCAGCACCACAACACGGAAATGCAGCAGCTGCTGCAACAGCAAACGGCGTTGATGCTATTGCTGCTGCCGCCTGATGCCGCTCATATGCTGCGCAGCCAGTCACTTGCTGCAGTAGGGGGGCGTATACCTCCTCTTCCGCTCCTCGAGGCAGCTCTCCAGGTGCCTGCTGCTGCTGCACCATTTGCCGCGGTTGTTGGTGCATCAAATGCCGTTGCTGCTTCTGCTGTGGAGCTGCTCACATCACGGCCCACGCATCTGTTGCCAGCATCCCTGAGGCAGTACCCGCTGCATTTACTGCTGCAGCTGCTGCAGTCGCAAAGGTCTGCTGCAGCAGAGATTGAGGCCCTCGAGAGAATAGGCTTGGCGACAAGAGCAGTAGCGGGAGGGCCCCCGAACAATCCGTTGCTTTGGGAGGCACTGCGGGCGGTACTGGTGGAGTTGACGCTACTGCTATGCGACCGTTTCGCCTCCACTGGAGGGTGGAAGCAGCAGCTAGAGCTTCAGCAGGAACAACAGCAGTATTGGGAGTGGGTGGTTGCCGAGGGGGAAAAGGTGCCTTCTGCTTTTGTGCTGGTTTTGTTGTTTGCTCAAGCTCAACTTGTTGCCAATGTGACGGCCGCACTATGGCGGTGCTTCGTGGAACTTAACCGTAATAGAACCAAAGCACAAGCAGCAGATGGTACGGCCGATGAAATGTTGTTGGACACAGTCAGGGCCTTCAGTCCCAAACATCTCAGCGGGGCGGAGGCCGAATGGTCCTACCTTGCGGCTAAGACAGATGCGCTCTTGCTTCTGCTGCTGCAGTTCTCTCACTTAAAGTCACACGCAGCAGCAAAAGCAGGGTTAGCTGCAGATGCGCCGGAAGGTGTAGGTGGCGCAGCTCCAATGGCTGAGGATTCGGATTCCATTAGCAGCAAGGGAACACTTGCAGCGGCAGATATTGCATTGCAGCACGCACAGTGGTGGCGGCGAGTGGCAGAGTGCCGCCGTCTTTCATCTCTGTTTTGTCTTTCGTCTCTTGCTGGCAAGGGTGAGGAGCTTAGTGAGCGACAGCAGCATATTAAGCAGCAGCGTGGCGTGTCAGTAAACCTCTCTTTCCGTCAGTTGCTCTCTTTGGCTTCCAGCAGCAGCAGCAAAAGCACAAAGAAGGACATACTACTGCTGTACGGCTTTGCAGTAGAGGCGAGCCGTCTTCTGTCGTTTGTCTTCAACGGGTCCTTGCCGGAGAGTTCCTGTGAAAGTCTTGCTGACTGGGTAGAGCCTCTGAAAGAGGGAGCGGAGGAATTAGAGGGCAGTGACACCATAAAGAATGCCTTGGGTTTGTCGGCTTCATTTGAGAGGGCACGGAAGTGGGCGGAGCCGTCTGCTTTCTTTTTTTCTTTGATGTTAATCCGCTCAAAGTGCTTCAGAAGGATTGCTGCAGCCGCTGCTGCACCGCCGGCAGCAGAAAACTGTGTTGGGCAAGGCAACGATACAGCTGCGGCTGCTGTTGCCGCCGTTGCTGCCGCAGCTGAGGCTGCCTATCCCCAACGCCATCCAGATATTGTTGCGCTGACGGCAGCTGCTGCAGCAGCGGGCCAGGCCAATGCAACAGAAATCAGCAGCAACGCTCCCAACGGCGACAGCAAAGCCGATGCATCGCAGCTTGCAGGAGCATACGGCGCGGCAGCAGCTGCGGGTGTGGCAGGAACAGGAGCAGCAGCCGGAGGCGCCCAGAAACCAGGCGCTGCAGCAATGGCTAGCAGTTTGAATGCAGTCGCGCTCTGCGATGCTGCTGATGCTTTGCTGGTGTCCTGCATCCAAGCTTTTGGGGCGGACAGCATGTTGAGGAGTGAGGGGAAGCCGCAGCAGTTAGTGCCGTCCTCCCCTCGCGGCAGCAACTATCTGAACCGGCCTTCTGACGGCTCCAGCAGTAACAGTAATGTTGGCAGCAACAGCAGCATCAACGATTGTGGAGGTGACGAGACAAGCGGGAAATCGGAAGCGCGAGAGGATGGCCGTCGATTTGTGTCCTGCCACGTGTCTCTCCAGCTGTTCTTGCAGCATGCTGGTGATATAGAGAGCCTTGTTGAAGCAGAAGGGGACCTTATGCCGCTCGTGTTGCCACTGTATAGGCTGCATGCGCTGCGGGTTAGGCTGCTGCTACAGTCGGGGGGAAGATTGTGGCGCCTCGCTGCTCTTTTCCCATGGAAGTACAACAGCAAACATCAGCATCGTGAGGCGATTGAGGCTTTAGACGCGGCACTGTATATGTGGCGAACGGGCAAAGTAGAGGCTCTTCTGCAGCAGCAGCAGCAGCAGCAGCTGGTGCTTCCGGGTGACCACTTGCTGCCCCTGCGTAGCGAAGCAGATGTTATGAGGGACGCTGTTGATGCTCTACAATATTTAGCATCCAAAAGGTAACTTATTTGTTTCCAATATTGCTTGCTTTTCATTTTATTCTCGCGCATCTTGTCCCCTGAGAATAGCTTGCTATTTTCTCCGCTTGCTGTTTTCTCCGCCACTGCTCCCTGTTAGCTACTTATGCATACCTCTTCATCTCGCCCTTTGCGCGTTTTCTCTGTTTCTTCGTAACTGTGTCGTGCAAGGACACAGAGATGCACGGCATGCGTGTATAAGCTGTTGGGTGGAAGTACAGAAAATTGCCCTTGTGCCCGAGCCTGCATGCATACGCATCCAGAACATTCTGCATTTGCTCCTACTTACGTATGCAACGGGTGGATATATAAGTATTAGTAATTTACTTATAAATGGATTTTGCACACTTGCTTACGCTCCAATATGATACAGTTCGGTCGTAGGGCACTACGCAAGAGCATTGAGTAGCAACTTATGATAAACGTCGGCTGCCATTTGATTTTCTCGTCTGCTTCTAAATCGTTACCTGTGGCTGTTTATAATTGCCTGTTTTATGCCAGCCGTTTATCTTTCGCGTGCATTCGTTTATCTGCCAAGGCCCACAGTTTGTTACATTTTTTGATTCAGGCAACTGGGCCTGTGGGCTTCCACGCCTCGTTACCTGGTGACGCGTCTGTGCTTGGCTGCGGGCGAGTTTGGGGCTGCATGCAAGCAAATGAAGCACTTGTTTTCGCGCGGCTCCATCAGATTAGCTCCTCCTGACTCATGGATGAGCAACCAGTACCAGGCGTTCAGGGCCCGCCGTCGCAGCTTCGATTGCAGACGTCTGAAAATATGCTACCTCCTTCACGACACAATCAGGGGACTCGCACAGGGCGCTCTGGCTGCAGCTGAGGAGGGGAAGCAGCAGCAGCTTCAGGAGCAACAACATCGACAAGCAAAGGAACAGCAACAGGCCGTTGTGTTGCCTGAAGGGTGGGTGTATGGTGGAGTGGAGAGAATAGAGAGGTTGGATGAGCTGCACGCAGCGATGAAGATTCTTGTGGAGGCTTTGGACGTGCAGCTGAAGTTGCTGCGTCGGTTGCAGCTGCGACTTCAGCAGCAGCAGCTACAGCAACAGCAGCAGCAGCAACAGCAGGAGGCAGTGGATGAGGAGGTACGACTGACCAGCGTGCCGTTGCAAGTGGAGATAGTGCGCCTTCTGATGACTGTTGCCACTGAAGCTTTTGCGGCGCTGACGGATGCAACTCCGGAGGTGCTGGACATGAACGAAATGAGACAGGCAATTAGCATCATGTTTCCACAGAACGAGGTCCCTCCGGCTGAGTTGCAATGCACGTATACTCCAGATACAGCCGCTATTGACAAGAGGTTGCTCGTCTTTCTGCGTGATATGGTCTCTTCTACCCGTTCTTGTCTCCAAGATCTTTCTGAGGGCGCCGACGGGGAGTTGCAAGGGATTCCCGGGGATAACGCGGACGGTCCCTTCCACGTGCTGGAGTGCCTTTTCGTGCAGCTGGAATCGGTATTTGTGGCTGCATGCAAGAAGCTTCTTTACTGCAACCCCCCAGCGTCGCAGCATGCAGTTAGTATGCGTCTCAGCATGGGCCAGCAGGTTCGCTGCAGCACACAAATGAGAGAAATCGATGAAGGCAGGGAGGCACAGGCTGCTCTTCAGAAAGCCCTTAGGGCAGACGGGGGCTTGGGAAGTGGCGGGGGTGTGACAGGAAGGGGAAGAGGCAGGGGCAGAGGAGGATATGGGGGCAGGGGAGCAGCGGCTGCTGCACGAGCTGCTTCCGCAGCAGCCGCTGCCTCGGCTATTAGTAGCACTCCTGCTGCTTCTGCTGCTGCCGCTGCTGTCGGCGCTGCCACCACAAGGAGCATCAGCAGACAGCAACGCAGAGCGGCCCGCAGCCAAAAAATGGGCGGGGAGTATTTTGAGGGCCACATCTCTGATGGGGAGCAAATACGTACAACAGAAGACACGTCACAGCAGCAACAGCAACTGCTTCAACTGCAGCAGCAGCAACAGCAGCAACGGAGGCAGGCGCAGCTGCAACCGCAGCAGGAGCCACTTAAGCAACAGCGCTTGCCGCAACACCTGCAGCCACAGCAACAGGTCCAGCAGCAACAGCTCCTGCAGCAACAACTGCAACAACAACAGCAACTGCAGCAACAGCAGCGCCAACTGCAGCAGCAAGCGCAATTGCAGCAGTTGCGCCAGCCACAGCTCCAGACTCACCAGCTGCAGCAGCAGCTACAACAGCAGGCACAACAGCAGCAATTGCGCCAGCCGCAGTTACAGCAGCTGCAGCAGCAGGCACAGCAGCTGCAGCAGCAGGCACAACAGCAGCAGTTACGCCAGCCCCATCTGCAGGCACAGCAACTGCAACAGCAGGCACAGCAGTTGCAGCAGCAGTTGCAGCAACAGCAGCAGCTGCGCAGTGTGCCGACACATTTGCAACAGTTGCAGCAACAGCAATTGCAGCAGCAGCAGCAGCTACATCAGCAAACGCTACAGCAGCAATTGCAGCAGCGGCAGCTGCAGGCGCAACAGTTGCCCCAGCCCCAAATCCAGCAGCAACAACAGCAGCTGCAGCAACAGCTGCTCCAGCAGCAACTACAGCGTCAGCAGCAGCTGCAGACACAGCAAAGGCAGCAGTCTCTTTCAACACCTCAGCTACAGCAGCAGTTACTGCTGCAGCAACGTCAGCAGCAGTTGCTGTTGCAGCAGCGCCAGCAGCAGCTGCTGCATCAGCAGCACCTTTTGCAGCTTCAGAAGTCTGGCTTGACGGGAAAAGAACAACAGCAAGTAGGCACTGCAACCCAGATGCAGCAGCAGCAACTGCAGTTGCAGCACCACTTTCTCCAACAACAGCTGCTTCAGCACCAACAGCTGCTACAGCAGCAGCAGCAACAACTGCTGCAGCAGCAGCTGCAGCAAGGCGTTGCTGACAAACGTGGCCCTGCATGGGCGTCTCCAGGGGAGCAGCAACAAAAGAAGCAAAGAGCTGGGGGAGGAAATATTAGCAGCAGCAGTAGCGGCGCTCCAGGTGAGGCCGAGGAGCTTCAGCAGCAGTGATGAACAAATTCGTCGCTTTGTCTAGTTCATTTATTGACTGTCACGGTTTGTGGCCGTTGCTGTTTCCGCTGCTGCGATTGGGGACAACCGTTGCAGCTGTTGCAGCTGCTGCAGCAGCAGGGGCCCGCAGTGTAAAAGGAGCTCTGAACAGAAGTGAGCTCATTTGCTGTTTAATGCTTTGAATCATTATTAGTCTAGTGCGCGTCTTCACTGGTCAAACGTAGAGACAACGGCAGTTGCGCTGCGGTAACGGAGCAGCCATCGCCACTACTTTGCGATGCTGGCGCTCGAGTACAAGGGGGCGGCTACTTTCCTTGATTTCAGCCGTTCACGCGTTGAGTGGCTTCCAGGTCAAACGCTTTTGCATAGGCATAGGTTGCGAGAAAGCTCTTCAGGCAGGATTGAACAGCAGATGGTACTCAGAAAGCTCATCAGGCGCCTCTGCTTCAACAACTGCCGTCAGTCCCCAGTACTGCCACACCGGCGGCCGCAGTTCATACGGTTGCGCTTAGGCAGTAACGCTACACAGCAGGGAATGATATCGCCAAAAAAAGTACGTGGTGTTTTAAGGTCCAAATGGAAACCTGCAATATAGAGGGACCGGCGATGCGGGGTAGCGGTAGTGGCAGCAACGCCCTCGACCGCTACACTTGCCAACATTGCGGGTGCCCAGCAGCTCCGCGGCTTTCCCCTACACACGGTAGAAATGCTGTAGCTGCACACTCAACGAAAGTCAGCCACGCCGTCCACGGCTAAGTCTCCGGTTGTACGCGAACGGGCCTTCGTGTTGGGGCTGGCCTCCTCTACTGTATCGTCTTTCTTCGAAGGGAAAAGGCATGCCAATGCCCGCGCGGGGCCCTACAGGCCCCCATCGGTGTCTAGTGTTGCGCGCATAGGCCATCTGGTCCACAGGAGGCAAATGAGATGCCATCAGGCACGCTTCGAACTCCTCTCTTGCACGCTTCCCCCGTTCTCCCCCATCTCCTCCGCGTCCTGGGTCGTAGAAATCCCGCCACTCGTCTCTCCACTGACGGCCGCTCGTACCTGAGATATGAACGCAGCTTATTAGTCACGTATGCACATCTCAGACGTACTAATATATCTACTGGGCGTAATATCAGCCTCCTTTGGCGAACAGACACATGGGCAAAAACACAATAAAAAGTTTCTCCGTGCCAACTGCATGGAAGTGATAAAATTCAGGTCCGACCTCTTCCGTATTTTCTGTCGCCGTCGATGTCGCGGCCACTGTCCGGATCAACACGAATGACGCGGCCGTCACATTGGGCTCCCGACAGGATCTGAACTGCTACCTTGGCTTCTTGAGGAGAACGAAATATTACAAACGCAAATCCACACGGCGCCCTCGTTAGCCTATTCAGTCCCATCACTATTCGGTCCACCGAACCCGCATGGCTCGCAAGCTGCAGACGAAACTGGACATACCTTGACAAGGAGTGTGGGGTAACAGGAAAACCAAAAGTACACGCAAGCTTCGCCTATCGTGTTGCAGGAGAAGATATAATCATTTGTATTGGACGCATTGAAAACAAAAGGAAGGAAGAAAGTGAAATTTATGTTTCTGGAGTTGCGACAAACCTCATAAAGCTCCTCCTCCGTCGTGAAGTAATTCAAGTTGCCGACATACACGGCACGAGAGTTCCGTACAGCTTCGTTCCAATCTTCCAGCGACGTACAAGTTCTCCTGTCGTAGTAGGTGGGCACCTTCTCGAGGCCCGAGTATAACTCTGCCATTCTGGGCTTCAGGCCGAGCTGGCCATGAGACAGCGCGTCTTACCCAGTCTTATAAGCCTCGTCCCGAAGAAGTTTGACGATTATATTGAGCCAAGAATAGGCATTAATACTGTCGCTGTGAAAAATATCCAACGTCTGAACTCTAGTGGTCGTAGGCTGCAGCTTTGGCGCATGCACAGGGTGTTTGCTGAGGCTAAGTGCAGAGAGCACTATCACCCTCACTCTGCTTTGTACTTATTAAAAATTTCCGCATCGCGGGTGTTCGGTCTGGTGTAAACAGCTCCCGAAGATTCTTCACTTGGTTCCAGTCGGTCCGCCCGCCGTGGGCATGTCGTGGGACAGCATGGTGCTTTGAGTCAACTTCCGTACCCTAGGCAAGATATCTAACGAAGCCCGTTTCCGTTGACAGTAACAGCCAGTGATCTCCCTGTGGAGTTGTCAACGTCCGGAAGCTCTGCGTTTCCTAACCGAGCGCGGCATCCACGTTCACCAAGCGAGGAGCAGTATTACGTCTCAGCTTTGTCTAATAGCCCCCTTGATCCTGTCATTAATTCTTTCCTGATCTGTGACTGCCCTTTTCCTCGCTTCTTGTCGCGGAGAGTGCACACTAAAACAGCCCGAAAGTGACGTACGGCGAGCAGCAGTGAAGTGTAACGAACGCAATGGGTTACATCGGCTCTTCAGCGCTCGCTATTGGCGCAGCAGTTGCAGTTGTGCTTGCTATTATCATTGCTTTTCATGATTTAGCCCTAGAACGACTCCGCAAATACTGCACACCAACTGCAGAGGAAGCCGAATGGGCTGCAGCGTATGTTGAAATTTCTGATGACGACGTCGATGTCTTGGAGTACGGAGAAGAACAACTGGGAGTAAGCTGTATATGCTTTCTTTTACACTTATCTTCACCGACTCAGCATTGCGGCTTTAGTGTGGCAGCTGTTGAGCCAACGCGCGTATGAATAGAAGCAAAATCAAAAGCCAAACTTTTAAGAGAAAGAAGAAGCCTCCCATAAGCTATCGGGAATATTAAAGCTTACTGTCGAACTCGCGGAAATCTGTACATTTTCTCTATTGATCCAGGGCGCCGAAAGCTTTCTTGAAGAACCGGAGGGTTCTCTCCTGACTGGCCTTTGGGATGGTCGCATCGTCCGCTTGCTTAACGAGCGACAGCTGCAACACGTAGCGTCAACGGGTGGGTATTGCCCTTCAATTTGTCTTGTCTTGCATTTCTTCTCTTTTATATGCTCCAGAAGCGGTCCATATGGTGAGAAGGTCAAGTTGTGTTATGCAGCTAAATTAACTTCCTCCCCTTCCTCCATTAAGGAGCTCAGACATTTGTGTCTTCGTGTGCGTTATCACAGGGGTGCACTATGGGACTGCTTGCTCACTGGAGAGGCAGAAAAGAGAATCTACCCGCTGTTCGCGGCCTTTGGGGCTTCAGTTTGCTTCGGCTCCAACTAAAGGAGAAAAGACCATAAATTTGGTGGTTTGCGACGGCTGGCGGGGGCTTTTGGAGGTACCCGTGCCATCTTGGGAGCAGGCTGAGTTGGGAACACATCCTACGCCTCCTTCAGCAACGCGAGAGCTCTTAAAGGGGAGAGGCAGTGCGCAGCTGCACATCGCAAACGCAATTACAGAGAAAGTGGACGGAAAATTTTTCGTCACTGACTCTTCTGCACGCAGCGATGCTGGGAGGGTGAGCCAATTAACCCTTTATATCCATACAGGCGTGCAATTTTTTGGCACGCTAATTTCTTATCTTGAGAAGAGAGAAGGAAATGGAGTCTCATGCATCACATGCAGATGCTAGCGCACAGCCTCTTGTTCCATGTTGATGAAGCCATTACACTGGCTGTTTACCGCAGTTCGTGCGTGTTGAGAGCGATGAAGGTTAACTGCCTTTCTACGTCCCTTTTTACCTTCTCGATTTTTTTCTGAGGTGCCTGTGCAGTTTGGCCTCATCGCATTTGAAGGCGCCAGTACTGGCACAGGCCGTCTGCTTTCTGTTGACCTCACGTAAGTACTGAGTGCTGGTTCTGTGCACTGCTGCTGCTGCATTTTTTTTGCAAGTGCTGCTGACTTTGCTGCTGCTCTACATGCTGGCTCTGCTGCCGCCCTTGCGTAGAAACACGGACAGCCAACAGAATGTTCAGCGAATGCTAATTTTTCTGCGCAGGACAGATACTGCGGAAGTTGTGGGTGATGGCATACCCTTTGCCAATGGGGCTGTCGTCACGTATGACCGGTCGGGCGTTCTTGTTTCAGCGTTGAGCGCTCGTCAGATTCGCTTCTACCCCATCAATCCTCAGTCCAGTGTGTCCTCACGGCCATCTTTCATCCCCACTTTTCTTAGGACATAAGGCGGACACCAGATACAAATAGTCTGACCAGATGGACTGTTGGAGGTGCATACACGCCCAAGAGGAGTTGCCAGGAGTTGCGCTGACTGTTTCTGGCCCGTGCACAACTATACTGAAGACCGTGGTAATGTGCACAAGTATATGCATGACCACAAGTAAACGTTTTCCCATGGTGTGTGTATCTTTGCTATCATCTTACTCAGTGCTTGTTTATTCTGCAGGTACAGAAAGTGGCTGGCGGCCGGTGGTGACCCTGCCCATTCCTCCTGACAATATAACTCGCGTGCAAGTTGAGCGGAAGCAGTTGTACGCGGCAGTGTCCTATACAGCTCCATTTCTGCCTCCCTTTGTAGGCAACTGCGAGACCGGCAGTCTCCTACAGCAACTGCGAGCAGCTGCGTGGACAGCGTTCAGTCGCGTTGTGAGACCGTACAAACCCTTCCCTTTCTTGGGGGGAGCTTTATTTCGCGTGAGACAGACACAGCAACAACGGAAATCACGGTTGCATAGCGAGGAGCGGCATAGAGCTATATGAATGCGCGACTGCCTTCGAATTTGCCTACTAAATTTCCAGCAGGGAGTGGAGCTGGGGAGTTTGCCGTTCCGCTTCTTTTGATGTAGCTGTATTTAGTATCATATCTTGCGAAGCCAGAAATGTAGCTGAGCCCCGATCAAAGTCGTACTCTAGCGCCTGTCACAAAATGTTCAGCGCTTTTGCGTTGCTGGGTGTCTTCGAAGGTTATGCGCTTGCTACCGAGCTCCTTCTTCGACATGCTCATCAAAGTCAGTGCGAGCAGAAGCAAAAGGGGAGGTCAGGTCATTCTCTTCGACGAGGAAGGGAAGATATACAGATGGCTTTCACGTGAGTTTCTTTTGGTTTGGCTCCTGTGCTGCTGTTGTCACTTGCTAGTGCTAGTGAGTGCGGCAGAAGCATCACAGCACAGCTTCATCTTCGTTAAAGAGCTTTTCTGCTTGTTGCAGTTCCCCGAAAATGCCGTTATTCCGCCGAAGTCATACTGCATAAATGGCCAAACACAGCAGAGACGGTGATGCTGGTGGGCGCCTTCAGGCCAGAGCAGCCACTTTGTCAAATTCGCATAGAGAGGTACCTTAGAGTACGATGAAGACTGAAGTTGTGTGGTCAGGCTTGATTGCGTATTTTTGCGGTAACTCTACAGCTTCTTTCGCGCTTGGAATGTATGTGCATTCCATAGCGACTTACGAGAGTCACTCAGTGCAGAAAGGCATTTTATATCAGGTTTATGATGAAGACGCTTTGGTAGCTTCGTCACGAGTCCAGATATTCGTGAAACAGGGAATTGGGGGGGACGAGGAGAGTTTGTTTGTTTGTGCAAATTTGCGTTGATATTCTTGTGTTGCTCTGTTAAAGGTACAGCATCCGTACGTGTGTCAACACAGTTGAATGGTGTTCGTGTACAGGCACGCTTATGCATTTGTATGTGTGAGCACGCATGCACATAGCACTAAGGAAGCTGTTCCGCAGGCATGCGGGGCAGTGCTGCGCTGCGTCTCTCACGGGCCATTTGGTGTGCGGTCAGTATTACTCCGCTCGAACGCAAAACAAAGTTAACATACGCACCGGGGAAAAGGCTACTTCAGCTTTCCCATAGAATAAGCGAGAGATGCCTACGTTTGGGCTCCCACGCTCACTGCGTGGTAGCCCAGTACATAAGCGGCGCAGGTGGCAGCGAGGAGGTTGACACTCATAGAACGCCAGAAGTATGCGTAGAAGAGCGTGTACTGCAAAGCCCGCTGGCTGCAATAAAAGAATTCAAGTGGCGAACAGAAGCATGCGTTGACAGTGTACAGGGAGGAGGCTGCCAGAAGTACAGGACAGGAACCGAGTGGCAGAGAGACATGCCAGGTTTTGAGACAAAAGAAGTAATTACTTATTTCACCTCCACAGTATTGTTTCAAGGGTGGCGCTCTGCACGCGCACCTGAAGTGAACACAAACTAGTTCTAGCGCGTAGCTAGGATCCCCTTTTAGGAAGACAAGCAAACATCCACTGGATTTAACGAAACGGCAGAGGAAATCTGAAGATGTGGAGGAATCCGGTGATAAAAGAGAAAACAATGCCTGCTGTGTGGTTAAGTTGGGAAGGTGCGCACATTTCAAGGCCTTTAGGCGTGGCTTGCCCTTCACTTATGTTTTTTAGCTCCATTAGCGAATTGGCTACGTGAAGCGCCCATAGAAAGCGTTTAGCCCCAAAGGCCCTTCTATGCTGCATACGCTGTTGCTTACGCACGCGCACGGTATAGGCTTGCTTGCTCCGTGAAATACAAATTTACTAGGTTGTCAACCTAGGCATCGTAACAACGCCTGGGGCCAACGAATGACTTCAGACTTTTTAAAGGAACCGTCCTATGCTGACTCACCGACACTGGTCTTCGGGCTGGGCTTGACAGGGCTGGTCTCGCTGTATCGTGCTATTGTGAAATGGTAATCTCGCTGCTCGTGCAGGTCGAGCAAGGGTTTACGTGGCTGAGTCGCTGATTGCCTCTAGCCTCGCCAGATGGAGGGTTCATTGGCCTCTAGGACTGGAGAATCTAAACGGAACTGGTTGGCGCATTTCATGTGTTGCGTTTGTTTCGTACCAAGCGTGTCGTTGCGTCTCAACGCCGCTAGGGGGATGAGAGTGCTGCAGCACAGAAGACACGTCTTTTGGGCGAAAATGAAGCAGAGACTTGTAAAATCAAGCAACTACAATCCTTGAGAATGAAAAGACATGTTAAATCTCGGGTTGCATTTAGCTGTAGCTCTCCGTGGTGAGGACACTAACCCCCGCCAAGTAGCTGCGTGCACACCTCTAGATGCCGATGGTCGATATCTCATTAGTTTCCAAGCTAGTCTACGCCAAAACAGATTATTTAAGTGTAAAACCTTATTTTCTTGACATTTTAAACACGAAGGGGAACAAAAGGAGTAGTTTTGAGCTCATCAGCGTTTAGGGTCCAGGGTTTGGGGTGCCCGCTAGATCGCGAGGCTTGCCGAACCTCCGCAGCGAGTGTCTGCATAGCTAGTGATTGCTGCACAGCTGCGCCGAAATACTCTTATATGGCACATTAGAAACAACTTTAGGTCTTTTTTTCGAATTGTCTATGTTTTAATCGCATAGACACACACTATTTCTTTCAAACAAAGGAAACAAGTCTTGCGTTTTGTGCGTCAGCGACGACGCCAGTTTGTGAGTATCGCTGACTGGTAAGCCCTTCACTGAAAACGAGCAGCCCAGCTTCACCGGGTAATATCGAATGCTAAGGCTGTTCGAGAGATTACTCAAAGGGATGGAAGGGTCCCGGTCTAGACTGCCAGTTTTTCTAGCGTCCCGTAGCGTCTTCATCAGCCCAGACGAGAGCACCGCACAATCACCGCTCTCACTTCCTCCTAAGAGGACAGTATCCGAATGTAGTAGAAACTGAGATGAATTTATAAGCGAACAGGCTGGAGGGTTCCTCACAGTGGACTGAGCAGGACCTTAGTTGCATGTACTATGCCTGTTTTTATTTACTTCAGAACGCGAGATTCACCGTACAAGAGTCAAGATGGCGACAGTTAACGTCATGCAGAACGGCCGGCATGGTCCAGAGGATATTAAAAAGCGCCAGCAGGCTCTGGACTCGCACCAGTACTCGAAGAACGGTGAGTTGCCCTGCAGACTGTGCCGTTGCAGTACAGATCTTGCTCATGTGCGTGTGCTGTGCTCGTGGACACATTTTAAGACGAACTGCAGTCGTTTGCATGACACAGCCTTTCGCACCCAGATCCACTGCCTTTGTGCCTCTGGATTTCCATTTTCAGGAATCCTACGATACGAATTCATATTCGGCCGGTAAGGGAAAGGATAGCTTGGCCATGATTGCTGATATTCTGTATCAAGTCTAATGCACGAGTGTATCTGTCGGTCTTCACCTTCGTCCTGTTCATCGACTTCAAAGCTTCTTTTGGTGTTTGTTGCAGGGGGTTTGTTTCATCTGGTGGGGGCGAAACCACTGCGGAGATCTTGCGTGAAATTGTTTTGCCAAAGGGTGGCAAGGCGATTGGTAGGTTTCACCAGTTGCTGGGCAGTTTCAACGTATAGCTAGTCTGCTTGCGGGTGCAGTCCTTCAGCTTTACAAACGAGAAATAGTAGCTATATTTTACGAAATTATCACTTTTGACTGAGGTTTTTGCCAATTGCTTTGATCGTTGCATCTGTGGAGTAGATGTCGGATGCGGGATTGGCGGGAGCACTGCAGCACTTGCTGACAAGTTCAATGCGAACGTGCTGGGGGTCGACTTGTCTTCGAACATGATATCCATTGCGAAGGAGAGATACAGCTCAAGGCCAGACTTGAAGTTCCTCGTGGCAGATGCCCTCAGCATCCCCATAGACTCGGAATCTGTCGATCTCGTCTACAGCAGAGACACAATTCTTCATCTGTCTGTTGACGAGAAGAAGTTGCTTTTCAGCAAGGCCTTTGACTGGCTAAAGCCAGGCGGACAAGTAGGCCAGGCACCTGCCACCACCCAAAACCTGCATTATTTTTCTATTAGCCATTGTAGCTTCCCTTTGCAGCTTAGAGTTCCCTAGGTTCTTCAAAATCGGCATACAGACTTTGCTGTGGACAGAGATGGTGTTATACACAGTGCGAGAATGGTTATTTTTCATTGTCGTTCATTTCGCGCGTGAACAGTCATCACTTCTTTGGAAGTTAGAGGCCTCAATTGGCGTTGGCTGCTTTGCGCCGGCTGCTTTGTTCAGCTCGTCATTACAGATTACTGCTGTGGGCCACGTGAAAAGTGGGATGATGAGTTCAAGGCCTATTTGCAGGATAGGAACTACAAGCTTGTGCAGCTAGAAGAGTACAGGCAATTGCTCACTGAAGCTGGTTTCGATGTCGTTAAAGCGGCTAACCACACTCAAAGGTAACTATCCATTTCAGCTGCCGTGTGGTACATTGTCGGGCTAGGGAACTTCGCATATTCCATGAACAGTAATGGTGGCACCATCGCTTGAGTGTGAGTGTACGGAGGTTTATTCGTTTTTGTGAATGCTCCGGTCTTCTACATTTCGAGTATGCTTACTACGCTGTTGAGTCTGGTGCATACGCCTTCACAGGTGGTTGCAGTCATTGGACGAAGAAAGCCAACGCCTGGAAGAACAGAAGGAGGACTTTATGCACCTATTCACTCTCAAGGACTTCCAGGATCTTCGTGATGGATGGCAGAGCAAGAAAGAGAGAGTTGCAAAGGGGTTGCAATTCTGGGGTCTCTTCATTGCATTCAAGCCCGCTGAAGGCGTATCAAAGGGAATGAAGTAATTTTGAACCCCTGCAATGTCTCTAGTCTGATGTGCACATATGGTTTATATTGTGCACCACAAGGATTCCGTTTTTTCGCCGCTGCTTGCAGCTCAGTATGTTGCTAATGTCAGCAGAAGACGCATACTGAAAATCAATTTAATTCTAGAATTCATTTAGGGCATTTTGCCACCTGGTGATGGCTGTGCCAAGAGGTGTTCATTTTACTCGCGTGAGCCGCGAACAGTGCATTGCGTCATCGTTTGAGTGTGTCGGTGGCTAAACACGCAGCGTGGCTGCTTGAGATGCTTGAGATGCTGTGACGCAAGAATTTACAGCGCGCTAGCCAGCTCGCTCGCTAGCCCAATATTTTCCTGTATATCTGTACGGGGAGTTATTGCTTCGCTGGGTTTGCTGTTAAGTCCGAGGGTTTTGATCCCAGACCCCTCGAAGCAAGTTTTTTTCTGATTTGCTACGGGGCGAAGACAAAGTATGTACTTTTCTTTTAAGTGTGCAAGCACATTTCAATATTTTGCTTGAAACTTTGAGTGCCTAAGGGTATATGTTGCGAACCCGGCCGAAGCATAGCAACCTTTACGGGGTCCAAAGATTAGAGCACGCTAACACTCAAAATTTGAGTGCCGTACTAGGGAAATGTAGCTGCTCAGCCCAGAGTCGAAACCTCTAGAGTACCGGCACACGGAGCACAGCAGCCATTAGCGGCCACTCGGTGTTCTCTTTACTGCAGAGTCTGTCGATACATAACCTGGCTTTCCGGGCAGGGGTTCTCTTCAGTATCTTTTTAGTAGTTTGTCCTATGGCGAATTGTTTGCGCTAGTGATGGTCTAGTGCTTCGTTTTTTGCTCCACTGCTGTCGTGTACGGGTTTGCCGCTGCAATGATGTGTGCCAGGTACGTACTTAGAGGTATTTAAACTTCGAGCAGAGCAGTTGACAGAACGTGTAACGCAACTACTGATAGAAGTGGGGTTCGAAATCACGCCCTTTCGGACTGCGGCCTAAACGCAGCGTCTTAGACCACTAGGCCATCCTGCCATCACCATTCCCCTGCCGCAGAAAGCATCCATGATGCAATAGGCGGAAACCCGGCAGTGGCTTGAAGTCTTCGCTTATGCAACACTTATTTCGTGCTTGATCTCTGCATAAGTAGTGTCACATAAAAGAACATTAGCAACATGCAGCACAACAGCTAACTTGTGGTCATGGCAGCTGCGATGAAGTCACAGTCGTTGAGCCGTTGTTGAAGCTGCAGTTTTTGTAGTGTTCAATTTTTGTAGTGGCCAGCACAATGTAATTCACACAGTAGATACAAAGGAGCATCTAAAACGTTATTTCGGGCCATTTTAGCAGTTAACAACAGATTTCCCGAATATAAATCGTGCTAACTTCAATATTCTGCACTGGAGTTTTCCCGTATGCATATGCAGTTGCTGTAGTGCGCAGCTAAGACCACCTGTATTCTGCAAGGTGCTTTCATGCTCAACATGCGCTAAGCAGCGAAGAATTGCAGTATGCCATCCCAAGTGAGCCAGCCGTTGTATGATGGTGCAACGGCTGGCTCACTTGGGATGGCATACTGTGTTTGCCTTCAAACAATATGATCCGCTGGAATAGGCAAACTAGTCAAAACGTCTCGAAATAATTCTCTTTCCATAGCTCTTCATACGCCACTCTTTGTCTTCGAAAGGCCTCGCTCGTTTCCACAGGATACTGATGGGATTCTGCTGCGTTTTGCCGGTGTGGCACCTACTCTGGGTTGAAAACTGTGCACAAGGAATGTGTAAAGCAGGCATGCCACACAGTATGTGAACGAAGAGAGTAATACGTCAAACAGTGACGTGCCTTAGTTTGGGTAAAAGCAACATTGAATACGCTGAGTAGCCAGACCAACTAGCTTTTCTTTGAAGAATAACCAATAAACAGGCATATGCAATGTCCACGCAAGGTAAACATGACAGAAGTGGGGTTCGAACCCACGCCCTTTCGGACTGCGGCCTTAACGCAGCGCCTTAGACCACTCGGCCATTCTGCCTGGCGCGCTTGGTTGAGTGTACACATTTAAAGAAGGACCACATCAAGATCCGTGAATCCACTTCACTTCTCCCTCCAAAGTCATTTCTCATTAACAGTGTAGAGGGTGGCTTAGTCTCAGTTCTCTGCACAAATGAATTTCTTGTAATTTTGCACATGCGCTACGGTTCGTCCTTGGTGACCATGAATTGTTTTGCTGGTCCAAGCATCAAGCTAATTCCTGTTCTTCTTAGCCGAGAGAAAACAGAGTTATGAATATATTAACACCTTGAATGCTCAGTGTTGCTTGGCTCTCGTTGTGTTTTGCTCACGGCTTGGAGCATTGGCTGGCCCTGTATCAAATCGACTAGGCCTCAAAACGACGTAGGTGGGCCACTGGTCCAATCATTCCAATATGCTTTCCCGCCCAAATGCTCTGGTCTTTCTTTCTGGAAAAAAACTTTCTACATGTTCGAATTAATATATTGAGAGCCGATATGATTTACTGAGGGCTTTCACAGGGCTTTGTGTCGCTACGGGGCTGTTTGTGCGGACTGTAGTGCCGAAGAGTCATACTGTACTTGAAATCAATTTCTAACACTTTAATCACTGTAATTAAATAAGCAGTAAACATGTGATAAACGTCTGACAGAAGTGGGGTTCGAACCCACGCCCTTGCGGACTGCGGCCTAAACGCAGCGCCTTAGACCACTCGGCCATTCTGCCGACAGCCTGCCGCGTAAGTCGTGGAATTAACCTTAACTATGAAAACTGCAATTTTTTTAATTAAATAATGCTTCAAAATTATCAGCGATCTCCTCTCAAACGCTTTTCAGCTTGCTTCGCACGACTAGGTCACTCGTGGTGGAGGCTCTTCACTGTGCTCTAGGAAGGATCGTGTGAGAGGTGATAGCGGCAAAGAAATAAAGACTTTTGCCTTCAATTGATTGTGAAAAAGATGAAACTTAAAGCAATATTCTGTACGGGCAGCACAGAAGACTAGACAATATCTAGACGCACTAGTGGCACCCGAATCGACTCCAGTAGCACGTGATAGACAACATAGGTGAAACTGCGAAGTTCGTGTAGGTCTAAACTGCGTGACGCCTACTTCGGGAGCGCCTCCCTATGGCTAAAATCAGAAGTTCTTTTAAGAATGCTACAAATATGCAGGTGAGTCTGGGTACGCTGCGCAAGAGAGGTTAGCGAGATTGGAGTGATACGGAAGTAGCCAATATTTTATTGGCCAAAACACGAAAGCCGATGACAGAAGTGGGGTTCGAACCCACGCCCTTTCGGACTGCGGCCTTAACGCAGCGCCTTAGACCACTCGGCCATTCTGCCGAAAGCCCAGCCATTTGTTCACTCCACTATGCTGTCGTGTATGAATAGCTAAGTCTGTCTGTCTTATTTGTAGACGCTTTGCTGGGATGCCTATAAATTTTCCTCTAAAGGGTTTGCAGGGTGATTACTTTGTCTCAATCATCTCTCCTGGCTGTATGGCGCTCATGTACACTTTGTTTCATGAGCACAGTATCGTGTGCGAACGTTGGATCTTGCATATAATTCAGTGTGAAGTGGCGATGCCTTCCTACACAGTTATACCCATGAAACCATCCTAGCATGTAGCATGTAAGGGAAAATAATTTATAGATGCTTTGGTGGCCCCCCACTCGCCTTCGTGTTCTGCTGCTGCTGGCCGGTGTCCGACAAACGCTAGGATCTCACTACTTTAGGTGTAGCTAAGCCTCTGATGTAGCTATTTCGAACGCAGGGAGACTTTTGCAATATTTGTATTGCATGCCGACGAGCTTGGCTGGAGAGTACATATTATTTTGGACTAAGCGCAAGTAGTCGGAGATGCATAAAGCGGTCCATTTGTTCCTGCAGAGTCACTCCATCAGGGCTGAAAGATAAAATCTGACAGAAGTGGGGTTCGAACCCACGCCCTTTCGGACTGCGGCCTTAACGCAGCGCCTTAGACCACTCGGCCATTCTGCCTGGAGCGCACGTTGAAAATGGTTGCATGGTTGTATTGCAAAAGTATTTTCCACAAGTGCTATCGACATATTTTCCGGAGTTAAGTGGCATTTGCCTGTTTTGGATACAGATTTTGCGTTTTGTAGGGATAATTTTAGCAGGTCGGATCCATATGTGGTGTGTGTCGAACTGTTTCGCCTCCTTGGGGTCGTTGGGGCTGTGGCGGTTGTGCCTTGCTGGGCACTGGGCAGTGTCAATTCGGCATTGCTCTTTTGGCCTCTTTTTTCCTGTCTTCCAAGTGCGCTACTTAGCTTTTACTGCGTTTCTTTGTCAGGTTTGGCTCTTTTGCTGGCCGTTGTCTTCTGCGTTTGTACAAGAAGGCTGCAGCACAGTGTCCCGGCGTGGAGACGACAAAATGCGGTCTCTGAATGCAGCCCACAGTTACGTTGCAGTTTTTCTGGGCGTTTTGTGCTGGGCGCAAGCGAATGGGCACGAGTGGGAGTCGCGGGAGGTTCTGGAGTTTCCCGAGGTGCTGGTGGGCATGCACAGGATCGACGTGGGCCTGGGAGTCCCCAGCTTTCGCTCTTCCTACGACTTGTACGGACGCGACCACCACTCTGCAAACGCCTACCCCGGCCTCTACCACACTAGTTTCTACGTGCCTGCGCTGCCTTCCGCGGGCCAGCTGCGGGACTGTTTGTTGAACTACACTTTGGACGAGTTGGCGGACGCGCGGCGCTACGGCGTGTTCAGCGTGCGCGCCGTGTCAGTGCTGGTGAACCGCAAGCGGGGCCTGCTGGAGTTCCGGCTGAAGCCCCACGAGCTGCAGGGCCTGCGGCGGGAGGCGCGGCGGCTGCTGCACTACCCCGGCGCGCTGGTGGTCCGCAAGCCCATCCCCCACGACTGCATGTTCGTGAAGGGAGACCCGCTTTCCTTTTACATTGACCAGAACGGAGTGAGTTCTGTGTGGCGGGTGGCGGTGAACCTGTCGCCCGAGGCCTTTGCGGTGTACAGACCCTCCCGCTCCGCCGCGCCCCACTTCGCAGTCCCCGCCGGCGCCCTCTTCGACTCCACTTTTGTTTCCGTGGGAGTTTGTCTGTTGGCCACGCGCGTGCGGGCTCAGCCCGAGGAGTTGGTGCTGGAGGCCTCGCTGCGGGAGCTGCGGGTGAAGCAGATCTTGGGGGGCGGCCGCTACCGGCTGCTGCACGTCTTTCGCTGGGCTGACTGCCGCTGCACTCCGCAGAAGCTAAGAGAAATCGCCTACTGGCTTCTCCCCAGAGAGGAAGACAGCGTGGTTTTGGTGCACACGGGCAGGGCCCCCGGCCAGACCGACGCGGCCCGCTGCCAGAGCGAGCCGCTGCGCAGATACACCAGCTGGGACGCCGCGCGCGCGGCCCCGGGCCTGGCTCTGGAGTCGCCGCTGCTGGCGCCTTGAAACGGGCTGCTGCGCTGCTGCGCTGCTGCGCTGCTGCGCTGCTGCGCAAGCAGCAGCAGCAAGCAGCAGGCTGCTGCTGCTGCGCAAGCAGCAGCAGCAAGCAGCAGGCTGCTGCTGCTGCGCAAGCAGCAGCAGCAAGCAGCAGCAGGCTACAGCGCAGCAAGCTGCGGCTGCTGCTTGCGCAGCAGCGGCAAGCAGCAGCAGGCTACAGCGCAGCAAGCTGCTGCTGCTGCTTGCGCAGCAGCGGCAAGCAGCAGGCAGCAGCAAGCAGCAGGCAGCAGCGCAGCAAGCAGCAGCGCGAAGCCGCTTCGCCAGCCACTTCTCTTCAAAGTCCAAGGAGGCGCAGACAGCCAAAGAACGCGCGCAGACGCCCATGCTGTCGTGCCAGTCACTAATTCCTGATTGCGTTTGCCCCCAGTGACCTTAACGGATGAGGCGAGCGAACTCAATGCTCGATTTCAAAGCTCGCTCCAAGCTCCGCTCGGTGATACAATAGCGTCCATGTTGTACAGCCTGGAGAAATGTGAGGCGGCGGCTGCACTGACAGCTGCTGCAGCCATGCAGGTGCTTGGACACGCACGCCGACCCAGTTAAGCGCTCTGTATGGCCTGTATTTGTTTTTAGAGGGCCCGATACCGCGGCTTCTTCGAAGTGTTGACTTCGGCGGCAGGGCACCGCCTCAAACCAAGAGCCTTGCATGATGTTTAAGTGCAATTGTTTTCCTGTATTCTCATCACCGTTCCGATGTCGGAGGGTGAAGATACACGGACCTCAAACGTGCCGAAACCGAAATTCGCAGAATGCTTTTCAATGGCTGCTTCGGAAAGTGTTTGTTACCAAGAATTGAGAAACGCATGAGACGGCCGCCACCGAAAGCGCAACGTCGAGCCTTCAGCTACTAGCACGCAGCATGAAGCATACGACAGTTGAACAAATGACAAGTTATCATTAGTATTTGAGTTCATAAGACGAGTTGTGACGCGGTTTCCAGTAGTTGGCTCCTGCTGTCTCAGTGGTCGCCTTTACGCGAGCTGCAGATACACCTGCCAGTGCTGTAGGTGGTCGAGATGGTTATCGTCAAACGACCGATGAAATCAAATGAAAAGTGCGTAGTTATTGCTAAGTTACGCTGCTGGCGGTTGAAAAAACAAGTGCTCGAGAGTATCGCAAGCAGAACTGAATACGGAGTTGAAGCATTGCATTCCAACTGCGGCTTCGCACAGCAGCACGGCGCTGGCATCTGAACACGATGGTCTTTGCTGTCGTAGGAACGACGAGGGTCTGCCGGCTGCTTCTTCCGCTTTTCCTCACGCTTGTTATCTACTGGCGAGCGGCTGAAGGCACAGTTAAGTTCGAGCAGGCGAAGGCGTCGTCAACGCAGGGTCCGGAGTTCGAGGCGGCTCAGGCGCTGCAGCCGGGGCCTTCGTACTGGTGCAGCGCAGGGCAACACACTGACGATGAGCAGGGTCAGTTTGAATTGCTTTTGTCCCCCGTTTCCAGCTGCAGATCTTCTGCGCAGTCACTTGGAGTGCAACTTTGGAAGCTCCGACCCTGCTGCGCGGCCTGCGCATCGGCTGGGCATATTCTCCCGAGGTTCGTGCTGCTGCAGCAAATGCAAGATCCACTTGCCAAGAAAAAGCTGCTTCCTCGCTGCTTGCTGGCAGCTCGTGCAGCTTTCCGTTTCCGCGGACGGGCGAAACTGGACAGTGGCGAGCCCGTTCAAGAGAACTCCGAGCAGCGAAGGTCCGCCCGACTCTGCACTTTTGCTGCTGCTGCTGCTGCGAGCTGCGCGGGCTCAGTGGCCTTCAACGAAGACCTTTTCTTCGACCACCCGCGCACAGTGCGGGCGGTGGCCATTGCAATGCGCAAGGCGCTGCACGACTACTTCGGACTCAATCTCGTGGAGCCGCTGGAGACTGGCGAGCCGCTGCTCATGATCGTCAGCGGCATCACCAGCACACAAGAGATGTGCCTCCAGGTAAAAAGCCTTTTTTCTCCAAGAGGCAGCAGCAAGAGGCAGCAGCAAAGCTTTCCCCAGGTCGAGGGCGGCGCCTTCAACAAAGACGGCGCCCACGTGGTTCTCGACTCCTGCGCAAACGCCATTGCTGCTGGCGACGGCCGAGTTCGTTTCTCGCCAGCTCTTAGAGTTATTTATTTATTCTTTTATTATTTATTTGTTTGTTTGTTTGTTTGTTTGTTTATTTATTTGGTTGTTTGTTTGTTTGTTTTATTTATTTGTTCTTTTATTTTGTTTGTTTGTTTATTTTATTTGTTTATTTTATGTATTTGCTTTATTTCATTTAGTTCAACTAATATGTTTCCTCATGAAGTCTTGCAGGAAATTTGGGTGCAAAGCGCCAACAGGCAACTTGCGGCCATGCGGAGTCAGCCGAAAAAGTGCATTCTTCTGCAAGACGGCAAGGTGGAGGGTGGGCTCTCTGTCTCCATTTCTCTTCATTTTTTTTCCAAATCTGCAAAAACTCAAACCCCACAACTCCCTGCATGCGGCTGTCTCCGTTTCTCTTCACTTTTTTCCAAATTTGCAAAAACTCAAACCCCACAACTCCCTGCATGCGGCTGTCTCCGTTTCTCTTCATTTTTTTTCCAAATTTTGCAAAATCTTAAACTCCACAACTCACTGCATGCGGCTGTCTCCATTTCTCTTCATTTTTTTTCCAAATTTTGCAAAATCTCAAACTCCACAACT